CTGGGATTAAAGGCGTGTGCCACACATCTGGCTCACTATTCTCTTTGAGTGACATTGTCCCTTTCCAGGCTCTGGCCATGTTTTGGACCATCAACATTCACAGGTGGGACCCTTTATGCTCTCAGTCTAGATTATCTCATCTCTCAGCATCAGTCTCTGCCCCAGCCTCATCTCAGGGGACTGTCCATTCCTCTGGTGGATACATTGGTTTTGCTCCTTTGCCTTTTTTGTTGGGGATGAGCAATAGGAGTTGTGCTAAGAATAGGAGGCAGAAACTTATCAGGCAGTTTTGGAGCAGGGACACTGAAAGTGAGCTGGTCTAACTCTCGTCCTTGGTCAGAAACTGGGAATGGCTTCTGGCCAAGAATTCCAGAAGGAAGCTGTGGTCCCTGATCTGGGTTCTTATCTTTCCTCCCCCTTTACAGAGCCTAAGTGAGCATGCCTTCCTGGAAACTATATGAGGACTTGACTGAAATTGAGAGGTACCTGGCCACCACATAGGTGGGCCCACTGGACTGCCCAGCGTGTTTCCCCATGCCTCACCTCAGTTTATGCCAAAAGTCCTATAAAAAGCCCATAGACTATGCAACTCAGTGGTACCCCATTTCTGGGACCCACTTCAGCTATATAGAAGCTCTGTCTTTTTTCTTTCTCCTAAGTTCCCACCTATAATCCTATTAAAAAATTCCTTTTCAAGCTCACCCTCCTGTTGTCATGAACTTTTTTTCTCGGACAAAGGACTAGGATGCCACTGGCTACGACTTGCTTCGGTGGCTGTTGATTTGTCTGGGGCTCTAGCACCCCAAGTTATGTTCATCTGAGATGAGAAAGCCTCTGTTGCTCTCAAGACCTCACTTTTCCTGTATCAGCCCAGTCATCACATTCTGTGTTCTCTGTGCACAACCTCCTGTAGCTCCTGGTCCTCTCCAATGCTGCCACAGGCATCTCTACTCCCTGGCTCTGCCCCACCCCCGCTGTGCTGTCCACTCCATCAGGCCTTGGCTGAGCCCCACATCTGCTCCTGTTTCATAACTTTTTCTCAACCTGGCAAGTGTACTGGAGGCAGAACCAAGCCTCCTGCTGACATTCAGTCTCTGCTTATTGCTCGGCAAGACCTTCCCCTTCTGACCTTCCCGACTCACCTCGTCACAGCCTTCCTGGCTCCCTTCTGTCTTTGCCTTGTTCCTGAAAGCCCGTTTCTTTCTTACCTTCCATCTCACACACTGCCCTCAAAAGTTCAGACTGACATGATCAGAGGGCAGCCAGATGTCCCTGTTTTTAGTCCTTGTAATTGTGTCCTTGGCTGCACTGAGTCTCTGGGCCTGTCCTTGGCCAGCAATCTGGAGAAGACAGTCCTCCCTGTGACCACTGTGGACCACCACACACTTTTCTCTCCTTTCCCTCTACTCAAAACAGAATGACTGCTTTGGAAGAAGCTGCCCCAAGTTCCATTAATGCATTGTGTGTACTGTGAGCTAAAGGGTTTTTAACATAGCCGGCAAATAAATGTAAATTTATACATTTATGCAAACTAACACAAAAATATGCGGTTAGATTTTCTAGCAAAAGTCTAATCACTCCATGAATTCCCCTGCTTTGTAATTTCTTGTCCCTTTAGTTTATTGCTCCTTAATACCTGCCCACATCAGCTCCCTGAATCCTTGTCTAGGCTAACTAATTACTCCTCTTTGCTTTTTAATAATGCGGACACATTTGCATTCTGCATAAACCAGCAATGTGGTGATCTGCTACTCACCACATTAGGGAGGAACTGCTTTCCTTACAAGCCCAGTTCTGCAGTTCTCAATGGCCACTATCAGTCATCAGTCTCCACTTATTACAGACAGTGTGGTTTCTTGCCTTGCAGATTAATTCTTGGAGACTACCCCTCTAGCTACTCGGCTCTTTTCTCTAAGTATGGACACACTCTCCAACCTTGGGGTTTGCTCCATGAGCATGATTTGCCTCCCATGGTTCCTTCTCCTGGAACCTCCTTGGTTAATTCGACGGTGGCTGGTCCTGACCTTCTGAAGGCCCTGGCATGGCCTGGTCTCATTGCTGCCCTGACCTGTTCTTACTCTCCTTTCTCGGTGCCAAGAAATCTCAGTGCTCATCATTACTTCTGCTTCCTGCTGCCCCGTAACCTGGAGCCCCATCTCTACTCAGACTTCTCTGTGCTTCTGAGGGCCTCAGGAGCTCACAGACCAGCCTAGATCCTGTGAGGGCACAGAACCTCTGTGAGCCAACAAGAGGGTTCTGCTCTTATGTGTACTTTGTCTCTATGACATACTGGTGCTAATATTCTCCCCATTTATGTGGATGAGGAAACTGAGGCACAAGGAAGGGAGATATCTTGCCCCAAAGCCCCAAAGTGAATGAGCAACAGTATCAGAATTCTCACCCTCCTGCAGTGAACTGTTAGGTGGCCCACTGTCCTGATTTCCTCTAAGACACCTAAATATTGCTTTGCTAAGTAGCTGGGGCAAGGTCGCATGATGTCTTAGGGCCCAAGAGCCTGCAGATTCCAAGGATCCCTCTGCAGGCACCAGAAGCCCCAACACCTCAGGAGGAAGGATTTGTCCTTGGCTGTGGCAGGGGCTTCCCTCAGCTGTGGCTGGTTCTAGGAGGCAGGAGGAGAAAACACAGGCCAGGGCACGTCGTACATAAAGTCACCCGGAAATGGTGTTCGAAGCCATCCCTGGGAATCCTTGGGCAAAGCTGCTGAGTGGGAGAATCTGAACTGCCCCAAATCTGTAAGCTGGCTGCTCACAACCTGCCTCCAACCTGGGTAGTCTCCTAAGCACATCAGGATGCATTAAGAAAGAGCCTTTGAGTCTGTGATTGCTACTCCTTCCCCCTGGCAAGGCCTCCAAGGTGGTCAGTGTCTCTGGGCCTGGGGAGGCTCAGAGTCCCATGCCTGGCTTGCCCACCCACTCCAGTGAGGGACACTGGACTTACTCCTTCTGAAAGGAAAACACTAGGCCTCGGGCAGGAGAGCTCAGTGTCTTGAAAGCTCCAAGGGGGAAGTAGAAACCTCTCCTCGGGCGATTTTCCTACTGATCTTTTGTCTCAAGTGTTCCCCTTGGGGATGAACAAGAAATACTTCTCTGAATAATTCATAGCCCCCCAGGTGGAAACATGCTACCTCTTTTTAATAAGGACTGGATATACTGTGCTGATTATAATGCTTCTGCAAGGCACTAGCAGCAAAAGCTCCGAGACCTGAAAAGCTTTTTACATATTCTTTCAATAGTGAAACAAAAAATTAAAAGCTGGGTAATATTTTTAATCAAACAGACTGTTTGGATAATATGTGAAATTATTTATAAAGCTTTATTGAGTTACAGCATGCTCATAAAAAGAATATGAAAAAATTGAGTAGCTGTAATTATTATAAGGTTTGATTTATTTTTAAAACAACTGCCTCTGGTTTTCTATTTAATGGGCACCTACTAGGCACCAGAAACTGCTAGGCTTGTTATATGAATCATTTTGTTTAGTTCTCACACACTCCACCAGGGTAAGTAGCAGCCCAATTCACAGAGAGGTTAAACAACAAGTCCTAATTCAAGTTCAGACCTGACCCTTAGGTGCACATTCTTCCCTTGACCTCTAATTCCCAGTTCATCAGCTTTCTTCTGCTGAAAGCCAGCAGTTACAGCTCAGCCCCATCTACCCTGTGCAGAATTGATGAGAAATGGCAAGAAAATGAAGGCTTTGGGATCCTTTGGAGCACATTTTGCCAGTTAGTTACAAAAACCACATCCTCTCAGTCCTATACCAATGTGATCAGTATAACAGAAGACCTCACAGAAAGAACGCTATGGTATAGATATCTTCTGGGCCTTTCTTGGGGTTAAAGAGAGTGAGAGGTGGGGCTGGAGAGATGGCTCAGTGGTTAAGAACACTGTTCTTACAGAAGACCCAGGTTCGAATCCCAGCACCCACATGGTGGCTAATGACTGTCCATAACTCCAGTTCTAGGGGATCCAACAGCTTCTTCTGTCCTCCGCAGGCATTGCACAACATGGGTGCACGCACCTACATGCAGGCATGACACTCATATACATAAAATAAAAATAATAAATAAAATATTTTTTTAAAAAAGTGAGAGGAACAATGGGGACCTGATCTTTGTCCCAGGATTTTGTGTCCAGTACCCGCATCTCTGTCTTACACACGACTGTCTTAGACGATAGTGGCATGAGGTCTCCAGAGCCACTGGCATGAAAGGCACCTCCACATCTTTCCAAGGCTCCTCTTTCCTGCAGGCTATTAAACTAGAGAGACCCTCTGAACCTGAGCTTGGCACACAGCCCCACAGGAGGCCTGTGGCCTTCTACCAGCTGTATAGAACTCATAACCTTAAGTGTCTCAGTCCAGAACCTTTTAGGAGTGCTCTGTGGGACAGGGTACTTCATACACATTCTTGATTTGTACAACCTTCTGGAATGTCCCCAAGATAGTTGGTGGCCTACCCTAGGGTCTCTCAAAGATGACCCATTGCCAGAGGCTGGGGACAACAGGGCAACAGGCTCCTTTTCTGGTACCCAGAGGAGGGACATGTGCATTTCTGGAACTGCCATACGGACATGTGGCATGGAAACTGATCATCTCCTCTTTGTGCAAGATAGGCACCCTTCCTTCCTCTGATGGGGTGCTCCCTACTGGCCAGCATACTGGGAGACAAGCTGGATGGAGTCTCAGGTTCCCTAAGTAAGGGACCTTTGAAGTCTCAAATATGAATACTTCCTTAAGGCAGCTGCTGCAAATTGTGCAGATGACAATGACAGTGCCCAGCCGTATAAGACGGTTCTCACCAACCACAGAGCCACAGTGTGACTAGGACTGCTGATCCAAATTGTCCTATCACCACAGCCCAGCACACTAACTGCATTTGGTCTTTGGAACCAGTGGGCATGAGGGTTGTGAGCCACCTGCTGCTTCCAAATGAAGCCCTAATCCAAAAGTGGGGGTCCCAGCCTCAGCCTCAGACTCACCAGTCGCTGCATGCTCTTCACATGGGTAGGGCTGATAGATAAGGCTTCTTCATACCACCTCCGAGCCTCATCGAAGTTCCCTCGCAGCTCAGCAACCTGGCCCCGCATGTATAGGACATTGTGGGACATTGGGAAGAGGTTGGCAGCTTCTTGGGTACAGGCTGTAGCTTCAGCAGGCTTTCCAATGCCAATGTAGACCTCGGCTGTGGGAGGAGAACAGAAAGCAGGTGCTGTCCTGGATCACTGCCCTCAGAGGCCCTGTGAGCAGCTGTTACTCTGCTTGGGGACTTTTGCATTCCCCCATGGGAACTTGGCAGGGCCCAGAGCCAGCTCCCTGACCCCTCTGCACATGGCCATCAGCCAACAGTCTCTTGTGTCCACTTGTGCCCAGGGACTCCAGTCATTTGTGCTGTGGGCCTTGAAGGGCAGACACATGTCACCACCAAGCAGACATGAGTGAAGTCTTCTGCCCTAACCTCTAAGGACAGCCACTCCAGGGTCTACCTAATGCCCCTTAGCATTGAGATAGAAGCTGGCCTGACCCTGTACTTGGCTCTGCACCACAGAGAAGGGGCTGGAATGAGCACAGGGACAAAAAGACCAGAGGCACACAGTCCTGTATTGGGCAATGGCTCTGCCCTCTAAAACTTGTGCTTCTGAGGCTAAAAGCACAGGGCTATGGTTTGGGTGTTTAAAGACCTGAGGTAAAACAGCCACTCCATCAGACCTAGGCCCCTTCGGATGAAGACTGCCGCACCCTGAAGATTCTTAAATGGCAACATTCACACTGCCTTTGAGAAACCAAGCTGCCACCTTCAAAATGAGCAGGGACACAACCATCCTGCCAACCTTAAGTCCCATCCCTTGCCTCTGTGCAGAGAATCTCAACTTGTCCAGCCTCCTCTAAAGAGCCCGCCATGCATCTCCAAGGCCCACTTCTCTGTCTCTTGGGTGTGTCCACTCAGATGTGATACCCACTCAAGTGTGTGCACAGGTAGAGATACCATTGCATACCCTAAGCCTCTTCTGCATACAGTACTATCTTTCCTCTTGGTTGGACCTGAGACTTCCAGGACATCTGATTCTTCTCTCTCATTATCTTACAGTCAAAATGGCCACATCTGTCAGGCCTCCTGCCCAGAGCCTTACTGAGTGCCTGCTCAGTGCCACTGTGCCCTGGGCTCTCTGACCCCTTCTCTGTCTTGCTAGGCAGCCCATTCTCCTCAGCATTTGTCCAACTCCTGGCTTAACCCCGGAGTAAAAGATGCCCGCACCCCTATCTGTCTCCAAGTGATGTAAAAATATGTGTAAATCAACATGTTACACAACAGCACACAGAAATGGGAATACTAACTCAGGCATGCTCGAACACACTTGTCATTCCAACACTCAGGAGGCTGAAGCAAGAGGATCATGAGGATGAGACCAGCCTGGGCTACTTACTGAGTGATTTCAAGGCTAGCCTGGGCAATTCAGCAAGACCCTGTCTCAAAACAAAACGTAAAAAGAGGGTTGGGGATATAGTTCAGTGGTAATGTTTGCCCAGTATGTATGAGACCCTAGGTTTAATTCTTGTTAACAGACACACATGGAAAGAAGGAAGAAAGATAGTAAAAAACACAATTAAGAGAAATAGAAAGTTTCCCTACTCTCATAGAGTTCTTTCCTGCAGCCTGCACTGGGAAGACCTGTGTGCACAGCAGACCCTCCCCACAGCTTCTCCTGCCTCCCAGGCTGCCTGCCCAAAGCTGTTGTCCATCAGCCTTGCAAAGCAGGGCCACACCCTGCTTAAGTCTTCCTTCCTAGAGGTCTTGACACTTCTATTCCTGCCCCATGTACCATCTAGGACAAGGTCTATTTCTGTCCTTCGGTCTATCTTCCCAGACCTCCAGAGTCCCTCCTTGGTCTGTCCCTGATGCCCCTTGCCACATCTCAACTTCCTTTCCCTGGTCCTCTCACCACTATCCTATTTCCCATGTGTCCACTAAAATGTAAGCTGTAGCTAAATGGGGGCAGGGGTTATGACTGTGTAGTCCAGGAGGACAGTGCCTGGCACTTGGTGCACAGTTGTGGAATGACAGCAATAGCACAGTAGCTTACATTCAACAGATGTGTGCTTTGTGCCAGGAAGTCATTTTAGCTCTCACTTTGCAGTGACCCTGGTAGTGGTGCTGCTGCATTATCGCCATTGTACACATGAGGAAACTGAGGCACAGTGTGGCTGAGCACTTGTACAAGGCCGCAGAGCAGGTCAGAGCTAGAGTCAGGTTCAGAAGAGCAGTTTGGCTTGGGCCTGTGCTTGTGGTCTCTGCAGAGAACAGTCTCTGGTGCCTAAAACTAACCTCTATTCTCTCTCCTGGTCTGCGAAGCCCTTGGTGACCAGCTCCACTGCCCTCATAACCTGCCACCTTCCTATCCCTTTCTGCATGGCTGGGTTCCAACATGGTAAGTGCTATCCCCAGCAAGGCTGGGTATCCTGTCTCTACACTTCCATGTGCTCTGTGGCTTTTGCACATAATGTTCTTGTTCAAGGTCATCTTGATGGTCGCCATCCCTGGAAGCCATCTACATCTTACCTTTGCAGCACTCCACTACCTGTACTGGTCCCTGTTAGTATCTGGTAGGTCCTAGGGAGACTTGTGAGGGTCACTCTCTCCCAGAGCAGGCCTCTGCAGATTCATCCTTGTAAACCCTCATCTCCAGCTTAACTCTGAGACTGGAAAATGGCAGGCCTGAATCTTAGGGCCTACACTGCTAATCACCGCGCCTCAGTCACTCAGCTCAACCCCTTCTTGAGCACATACACCTATCTGGTAATTCACAGAGGCAATTGGCTCTGCAGTGAAGAGAAGCTCCTATCTTCCTTAACCCTCACTGTATTGATGCTTTGCTGTGTCTGGGGAGATGTTGGCAGTGAGAGGAGATGGGTGTTTTAGGTGCTGCCTCACCCTGAGCATTTCTGGGACAGATCCCAAGAAGGCCTTGTAGTCTCCGAGCTGAGAACAGCCCAGGCCCTGCTCTTACTAAGGGTCCAGCCAAATGCCTTTGCCAGGGTCTTAGCTGTAGAGCTTCCATTTATATGAGTCTGGACCTGGCTGTGTCAGCCTGTGAAGAGTGATTCCTCTCCAGGGTCTCCGTGGGAGAGTGAGTCACATTTCTCATCCCACCAGTGAGACACTTCATCCCTTCAAGGCCATGACCCAGCTGGTCTGACTCAGGATCATTCTCCTGTGGATCTACCCCTTTGATGACCTTGACTCATCATTTGGAGGAGTCAGAAGTCAGCATGCAGACCTGGAGCCTTTTCCTGCCACCACAATGACAGTTGTCTATGTTCTCTGCACCTACATACTCTGCACTGTGTGAGGGGCTCAGTCTTTATTGGGTCACACGCATTGGCAGCAACACCTGTGCCACACATTATGCATACCTGGGTCCTCCTCATCCCATACCTGTCCCCAGCTCCCCTGTGCCTGATCCAGAGTGATTCTTCTTGCAAGGATGGGGCATCCTCTGCCTCCATTTCCCCTTCACCCTCTCTGCACCCCTGGCTTGCAGGGCTACCACTCCACTAAAACCAGCCTTGTCCCCATCCCTGGTATCTCCCTTCCTCCAGATCCATCAGATATTTCATCTACATCAGACTCAGCCACAACATCCTTTAGAAGCACTTTTCATGGGTGGGGAAATGGTTCAGTGTGTAGGGGAGCTTGCTGAACAAGCCTGAGGACCTGAGTTCGGACCCATGTAAAAAGCAGGTGTGTTCATGCATGCCTATAATCCCAATTCTGGGGTGGGTCAGAGACCCATTATTAGCTAGTCAGATCATTAACCAGGTGATTCCAGGTTTAGTGAGAGACTCTACCTCAAGAGAGTAAGATAGAGAAGTACAGAGGATGATAACCAAAGTCTTCCTCTGACTTCTGCACATGTGTCCACAGGTATGAACACCTACATACACAAATGCATATACACATAAAACACACGCACGCATACGCACGCACAGTTCACTAATTAGTGACTGCTGCATGCTGAACATGCCACTGTGTGATCTTCTATGCCTGTTCAGACTTCTCATTTTGCTCAGTGGGATTAGGAATAACTTGCCAATGTCCTACCACTAGCCAGAAGTGGAGTCCAGGATTGCTTGTGTATAATGCTGGGGATTGAACCTGGGGCCTCAGGTAAGTACCCTACCATTGAGCTACATCTCCAGTCTTCATTTTACTCTTTTGAGGGGTCTCACTATGTCATCCAGGCTGGTCTTGAATTCATTTTGCCACCCATTCAGGCCTTAGTCTCTCCAGTAGAAGACATGACAGGCTTGTGATACCAGGCCCAAGTAGGACCAAGGTTTTAACTGAGTCCTCAGTCCTGAGTCCTGATGGCACTGCAGACCCCTGCATAACCTCCCTCCAGCTGCTACGAAGGCATCAGTCCTTGCTCTCCTCCTTGATGACCACTCCCTTAAGTTTCTGAGGTGTCAGAGTGGACTTTTCTTTCTCCATCTTCATTCTCTTGAGGCCTTCTCATCATACCCATCGGCTTTAAGTCCCAACTCCCAAATATGTTTCTAGGCCAATTGTGAAACATAAATCCAAATCTCCAACTGGCTGTGTGGCACCATCACTCGCATGTTGTCAGGCACCTAGCATGTCCAGGTTCAAAGAGGATTCTGGAATCTCTTCCTCCTTGAGCCTGGTCCCTCAGTGCTTCCCCCAAGCTGCCCTGATGTAGGAAATGGGATCACCTGCCACCCAGTGACTCAAGGCCAGCACCCAGCATTCTTTCTGGACCCCTTCTTTTCCTTTACACCCACTCTGTACCCACCAACCAGGCTCTCATCAACTCCACCTCAAAACATATCTTCAGCATCTCTCATTGCTATACTTCCACTGATACCATCCGGGACCAGGTGGCTCTCCTGTCACCTGGACTGACACTTGGTGATGGTTTATATTGTTAATTTGACAAGAATTAGAATCACCTAGGAGATGAGCCTCTGGGCATGGCTGTTAGGGATTAACTGGACTGAGTTAATTAAGGTGGGAAGACCCACCCACTATAGGCATCATCATTTCATGAGTCAGGGTTCTGGACTGTATAAAAGGAGAAAGGAAGCTGAGCAACAACAGCATTCCTCTCTCTCTGCTTCCTGACTGTGGATATGACCATCTGCCTCAAGCTCCTGCTGCCATGACTTCCCCACCAGGATGGACTGTACTCCCTCAAACTGTGAGCCAATGTAAGCCCTTCCTTAAGTTGCTTTTATCAGATATTTGGTCTCAGCAACAAGACAAACAGCTAATACACACTGAGTTGTCCTCCTGGCCCTGAGGCTCCCAGAACCTTTGCTGTCTTCTATCCACACTATCTACAGGGAACTTTTAAAATCTCATTCATAAGGCTGGAGAGATGGCTCAGAGGTTAGTTAGAGCACTGGCTGTGCTTACAGAGGACTGAGTTTGATTCCTTGGACCCACATGGCTGCTAACAACCATCCTAACTCTAGTTCCAGGGGATCTGATGCCCCCTTCTGACCTCTCATGGGCATTGCATGATACATACATGCAGGCAATACACTCATACACATTAAAATAAATAATTAAAAAAAAAAACCCTCATTCAGATCTGCTTCCAAAGTTGTCCAGTGCTTTTAGAGTTGGGTTCAAAGATCTAATGTAGCCACTGGGAGCATGGCATGATCTGACACCAGGCCTTGCTGCCTCCCCTGGGGTCCTATCACTGCTTTAGTCTTTAGGTATCAGGTTCAGGTATTCTGAGTGCTATGCTGTGCAGTGTGGTACTGCCCCTCCCTCCCGTGTCCCTGACCAGTGCAAACCAAGCTTCTGGTCTACTCAAATGTGTGTGGGCCTTCTCTGTTGCTTCCTGCTTTGGCTTTTTGTTTCCAGGGGTCACAGAAGCTGCATTGCTTGATCCTGGCACTGGGCATGTGGGAATTGCAGGCTTTTGCATCTGCAAACCCTAGGAAGGCAAGGGCTGTGTCTGTCTCCATGACCACTGAGCTGCTGAACCTGGCACATAAGGAGACATGGACCAGCTGAATGCTTACTGAAGGTTGGAGCAGGGCTGTGGGCTGCACAGGTTGGTTCTGAACTTGCGCTTTCCAACATGTAAGCCTTGCAACCTGAAAACGTGACCTGGCAGTGCTGACTCTGTTACGATGGGACCTAAACAAGCCACGACACAGAGAGTCCTTGGAGTACTAGCTGAACCATACCTTTGTGCTAGATGAGTGTCAGCTATATGAAAGGCTATTAACCAAAACTCTCCATGAATGGAGAAGAGACTAATAGGGCAGGGCCAACCTCCAGGACCCTGTGTTTTCCTCACAGGTAAGAATCTGTGTCTTTCTCATGGGTACCCCAGTGGGCCCTGTATCTATGTGGCCTATGGGAACTGTCTTATCTCCCTTTGGTGGACAAACTACAGCTGCCCCTCAATACTGCCAGTGCAACCTCTCGGTGGCTGAGAGGAGCTGAGGAGGGGGAAGGAAGGAGCCAGGCCAAGGAATTTGTGAGAGTATCACAGCTCCAAATTCCCAGCAGAAACCATAAAATCTGATCTTGCACATCTAAGAATAGCCTCTGGTTTCGGCTGTAAGAGGTGCCAAAGTGAAAGCTATAATTATTAGTAAGTAACAAGCAGAAATTAACCACCTACCGCAAAGGCATTTTTAGCCGCCATCCCAACATGGGAATCAAAGGATGGATACCCAGAAGCTGCCTAGCCTGGAAGGGCTCTGGTTGGACCTGAAATTACTGGGGCTGTCTGAGTTTCCAATGGAGACAGTGAGGCCTGCTGCCTTCAGGAGAGAAGGGCTCAGTTCCAGGGATCTGTGCTAAGATCTTGTTCTCTGCCTCAGCTCTCCTGGCTTCTACTCTGTGAAGACTGTGCCATGCTCACAGCTGTCTAGTGGGGTTGCCCTGCTGCCAGGCAGGGGGTGCACTCCTTGTCTGCCCTTCTCTGCAGGAGGCTGCATGCAAATGGTACCATAAGATACTTGGCACTTTCAGGAAAAGAGACTGATAGACAGGGAGCTGCTTTCTAAATATTATGGGAAGCCCAGGGGCTGTAAGAAAAGATGAACAAGTGCATTTTAACAAAATGTTCAACAAGCCCCCAACACAAAGGTAATAAAAGGGTTGGGGATATGAGATCAGTCAGTAAAATGTTTTCCTTGTAAGCATGAGTTTGATCCTCAGAGCCCACATAAAAACAGAAACTTGGTAGTATGTACTTATAATCCCAGCACTGGGGAGGCAGAGGCAGGTGGGTCCCTGAGGCTCACTGGATAGTCAGCCTTACTTGCCTGTTGAGTTCCAGGCTGTGAGGGACCCTATCTCAAAAACTCAAGGTGGACAGTGTCGGACGAATGACAGCTGAAGTTGTCCTCTGGCTTCAACATGCACAAGCAGTCCCCCTCCCCCTACATACACAGAGGAAGGAAATATTTACAGACACAAGGCAAATGTCTCTGACACATGATAAATGGCTTCAAGTGAAAAGGAGATACTTGATGCTTAAGAAGTAGGCAAAAGCCATGCACAGCCAATGGAAACACTCTTTCACTCACCCAATTGACTAAGATCCAGGGTTTTGAGAATCCATGTTGTTGGCAAGATTAGAAAATGGACACTGACATGCTACTGACTGGAACAAAAACTGGTACAGCTCTACAGAAAGCCATGTAACCACATTTATCCAAACCAGAGTGTACACCCTTTTATCAGTTCTACTTTTTGAACCTTATCTTAGGGACACATAACAATACATATCAGGATGCTTCTGGAAACACTATCTGCAACAACCAGCCAAGTGTTAGAAATGATGAGGACGCTGAGGCTGGAGAGATGGCTTAGCAGTTAAGAGCACTGACTGCTCTTATAGAGGACCTGGGTTCGATTTCCAGTACCCACATGGCAGCTATGAACTGTCCTTAACTCCAGTTCCAGGGGAATCAGAAGCTCTTGTCTGACCTCTGCGGCATTGCACAACATGGGTGCACTCACATACATGCAGGCAATACACTCACACACATAAAATAAAAATAATAAAATATAAAAACAAAGAAATGAAATGGTGAGGATGCTAACTACAGCATATTGCTTCCACCATCATGTTTCGTTACCATGGATTTATACCATGCAGCTGTTAAAAGTGCACATCAGCTTTGCATAGGCTAATGTGCAGTGACACCTAGACACTGTGGGATGAGAGCAGCAGGGACAAAGCACCAAGTGGGTACATCTCTGGAAGGTGCAAGCTTAATGACTTGAGTTTGATCCCTGGATCCTCTGACCTCCACTCACATATGCACAACAGAACATGACACATACCCTAAGATAATAAATGAAATATAATTTTAAAATATTTTCTGAGAAGTACAAGGAGAAGCAGTGGCTGTGAGGTCAGGAGCAATTCCACAATTCCTCCTAGAGGGACAGACATCAGCTCTCTGCGCTTTACAGTTTGACCCTTCAAACCCCATGTGAAAGACAGCTCTATCCTCAGCCAGCCTGCATGCTCATCCAGGCTTTCCTGGTTTGGACACTAAACCACACTCTTTCCCTCTCTGGCCTCTGAGGTCACTGTCTAAGCAGATTCCTGTGGGGTCTGGGCTATTCTGGAGAAGGCCCAGAAGGCCTTCCTGCTGTACCCTGCCTTCAGAGGCTGCCTGTCTCGATCTCTCTGTGGGAGCAGACACAGGTGAAGAGCAACCACACATGCATGAGTCAGCCTTCTTTTGTGCTTCTGCTTAGAGGAATATCATTTGTTAATTTACAGCAGTTGTTACAGCTCAATTAAAGATGTCAACACAAAAAATGCTGGGCACTGTGGCTGGCAGAGCCAGGTAAATCAGCCACGGCTTCACATGTGCATGCTTGTTAATGGGGACACACAAGGCAGAACATCACACAACTGGCCCAGAGAATAAAGGCTTAAATAGATGGACAACTGGTAGCAAAAGGGCACCCTTCTCAGCCATACCTGGGTTCTTAGCACATACCCTGAGAGTGACCCCCAGAAAGGTCTGTCAGGGTTTTGCAGAGCAAGTGATGAAACTCAAGAGACAAGTTACGTTTTACATTGAAGTAGAAATATGCGAATTACCAACTGCCATCATTTTCTTGGGTGCTTTCTCTGTTAGGTGGAATTGCACAAATGCTATCCTTAATTGTGGTATTTCTAGCTGGGTGGCAGCCTTGCTGAGCCGCTGACGGCCACCTGAAACCAGGGCAGCGGTGATTATACTTGCCTCTGGCTCAGGTTCCAGAACAGTGGCTGCTGCTCTCTGCAGGTTAGGAGGGAAGTGGGGACACAAAACACTGCCCTGCCCTGACTTTGATAAAGGCACCTATGTTATCAGTACTTCCTGTCCCACTGCCCCAAAATTCAGACACTGGATGGTAAGATGTACCAAACATTGAGATCCTCTACCGTAGGAGAGGTGTTATTCTAACCCTACTGTGCAGTTGGGGAAAATGAGAATGAGATGTAAGACAGAGCTCGAGTCTACCCAGTGGTAAACAGCACAGGTTGTGAGGGCATGGGATGTAGAGCTGGCCCCTCTACAGTGTAAGCTGCCTGCTGACCCTATAAATCCCCCAGGGGTCCTCATCCTGATTCAGAAAATCTCTCTGGGATGCCCACTCTGGGCCAGGTGTCGACATAGATGAGGGATGAGAAGATGCAGGGTAGCTCATGGCCTCTGTATAGCTGCGATACCAGCCTAGTGGTTGACCACAAAAGCTTTGATTTCTCCCAACAGATGAGGAATCCTGAGCTAAGCAGCTGAGTAGGTGCCTGCAGCCTGTGGCCCAGTGATGGGCTGTGGGGAAGGATGGGTGGATAAAGCAGCCCATGGGTCCAAGGGCTAAGTGCAGTACCTGCATGGAGCCAGATCTGTGCCAGCGTCATCCAGGGGTGCAGTGGGCCCTGTTTGGGGGCGCTACTCTGCAGAGATGAGGCCACTTCTGACAGTGCCTGCTCCACTCTTGAGGCTGCTACTGATGTGGCATGGACAGAGCCTGTGGGAGGTTTCAAGACTATGTTAGGAGTGAAGGGGGGAACCACCAACCACACACCTGACAAATGACCCCCTCCCACACACAGACACGAGTGTGAACGTACACACACCCCTTCCTCAGGATGCTTCCGAGTTACTGTCCTTAAAGAAATGGGGCCAATCATGATGGCCTGAAACCTTAGCTTCATCCTCTGCTTAGCTGATCCTTTAGTCAGCACACAGGGCACATGCTATGCTCAGAAGCTCTAGAAGCTCAGTCTGGCATAGTATGAATGCTACAGCAGGAAGGGAGGGCAACTTGACACACAGCAGGGACTCAAGTTTAACAAACAGCATCAGTGACAGACTCCAAGGGGATATTAAAAAGCACTCTATTAGGACCTAAACCAACTGTGTGGGAGAAGGCGAGGGGAGGGCCCATGCTTGCTTTCTGGGGTAGTGACTAGAATGGATGGATGGCCATTTTCAAGACAAACTCAGCAACTTTCCATCATTATTGAAGCCTGGTCTTCAAGAGATGGCCAATATCATGGATGGGGAGTCATATTCTCCAGAGGCTGACAAACTGGAGAAAAAGTACATATTGCCCTGTATACAGCAGACGTCTCTAAGGCTAACAGCAGACTAGAGGAGGATGGCTTAGAGCAAAGTGGCCTGGGCTTAGAACAGACACCTGACTCTTATATAACCTGTTGCAGCCAGGCGTGGTCCCAGCACTTGGGAGGCAGAGGCAGGTGGATCTCTGTGAGTTCAAAGCCAGCCTGGTCTACATAGTGATAAATTAAGTTCACTATACAGTGGATAATACAAAATTATGAACTTAAAAATCACCTCAGCTAGGCTTTGGAATGTGCTATTACTTATTCACTTTAAGAGGATTGGCAAGCTGGGAGTGGCAGTCCATGCCTCTAATCCCAGCACTCAGAAGGCTGAGGCAGGATTCAAGCCCAACCTGGACTACTAATAAGACTGTCTCAAAAAACAAAAACAAAACAAAAAGGGGGATTTATAGTAAAAACTGTTACTATAAATGCACTCATATTGTTTTAACTGTTCCAACATGGTAGAAAGATGGATTCCATTAACTACACTGAGATCTTTGATGGAGGTTTGGTGAATGGAAATCTATGGAAGGGAAGTCATTCCATCTGCTATGGAAAAGCCTCAGGCAGACAGGCTTTCGAGGCCTCCAGAGAAGACAGCATCCCCAGGAAGGGCCTTGACATTCTCTAGGGAAAGCTGCCACTCAAGAAAGGAAACTGAGGTCCAGTTTGAAACATTCAAACTGATGGCATGACGATATGGGGGAAACAATGAAGTTTGGCTATGACTCTATACCCCGGTTTAGACAAAGTATATACAAATAGTAAAATGGCTTTAGTGTTGTAGATATTTTGGTTTTATTTTGTTGTAACCTTTGCGTGTGTGTGTACGTGCATGTGCATGCTTGTTCATATGTTTGCATTGTGTGCACTATTGCATGTGCAGAGACCAGGAAACAACCTTGGCTGTCATTCCTAGGAGCCAACCATCAACAAGGGTCTGTCACTGGCTTAGAGCTCACTAAGTAGGTTAAAGCTGGCTGGCCAGAGAGCCTCAGGGATCTGCCCATTTCTACTTTCATATACAGGCATATGTCACCATACCCAGCTTTTTAAATGTGGGTTCTGGGGAATCAAACTTAGATGATGATACTTTCAAAGCAAGCACTTTGCTGACTGAGCCATCTCCAAAGACCTTGTAACTTTTACAGAAAATATTTTAACTTTGATATCAAGGACTTGAGGTAGTTTCCCTGAATTTTTGAGAAGCAATGATCAGTTAATAAAATGGATAACCTGGAGATCATTGCTATCTTGGCTATTATCACGCTGGCTTACCTGTTCACCGACTGACCTGAACAGTGGCTCTCAACCTTGACTGCACATGCCGATCACTTGCACATTAAAAAAAAAAATCTTCAGATGAGACCAAATGAGTCACAACTTGGGTCGGGGAGGTCATCTAATTGTTAATCACCCCAAATGATTCCAATAAGCAGCTAAGACTGAGACCCCTACCTGCAGGATCAGGTATAGACACTAGTGTTTGGTCAAGAAAAGCCTGGACACAGGCCTATGGCCTGTACTTTCCTACTTCCCCCTAGCCTGACAGTCAGCTGGGGAGCAGACTTCTAAGAAGATATTCTCTGCAAGAGGTTCTCAGACTTTCTGGACTCAAGAGTCTTTGTGGTTGGTAGAAAATTATTAAAGAACCCAAAGAGATTTATTGGATTTCATCTATTGACATTGCTACATCAGGAATTAAAACTGAGCAATGCTTAACATGTCCAGCTATTTACATCACTTTAAAATAATAATACACAACTGCTATGGAAAAACCCCACCAACTTGGTTCTACCACCTATGGATCTCTTAATGCAAAGACCTGTGGCTTTTGGAGGGGGCTAATGTTGCTTTGGGGATTAACTATTTCGTTTTTTTGGTCTACCAAGGAACTAGTAAGAACCCTTGCCCAAATTATTTTTCTTTGCAATACCATGGTATGAAAAAATTAATTCTTAGTGTGATAATAAATTTCACTCTGAACAAGATCTGGTAAATGATGATAGTGACAGTGGTGATGATGGTGGTGATGATGGCTGTGATGGTGGTAATGATGATGGTGGTGTAGATGGTGATAATGGTGGTGACGGTGGTATAGATGGTGATGATGGTAGTGGTGATGATGGTGATGATGATGGTAATGATTATGATGGTGATGAGCTCTGTGAGTAGTACTTTACATTATTTAAATGACAAAATTGAGACGATGTTATGTAACTACCAAAGTCACATAGCCAGCTGGAGGTAAAACCAGGACTCAAACACTGATCTGACTCCGAGTGTTTTTAAGGAAGCTTGCTTTCTCACCAAAGCAAATGCATTCCTGAACTGTGTAGTATGGGAATGGAGATTGAGTCTTGGAAAAGGAACCAGAAGGGAGATTAAAGGACATTATTTCCAACTTGAAATCCAAGACTCTGGAGAAATGTTTCCAAATAACAAGGTTCACCAGGCGAGCCAGGCAATGTGCCCAGGCTGCTTGCATCTCTTATTTATCACACTAACCTGAGAAACACTTATCACTGCTGTAACCCTGAGAGTTGTGTGCTGTGTAGCAGAGGCTGCCTTGCCCTGCAAGAGGATAATGCATTCCTTCCTGTTGGGACCTGGTGGCTGGCAAAAACCACTCACTGCTCCAGGAGCTGACAGAGGCAGGTGAGAGCGTGCTCTTAGGAGCTGGCCAGTGGTCTGTGAGCTAACTGCTTGAATGGTATAAGGATACAGGAGGCTCTGAAGCAGGACAATCTGAATTTCCTTGGCCCGTGCCTTTTGTTGCCCTCCTCCCTGAAGAGAAAAGGCTGTCTGGGACATCTGATAAAAAGGCCAAGTGCCACTTGCAGAACTGTTCTGATTCCTAATCCAGGATTTTCTTCTAGGATCTGCTGGGCCACCTTGAGGTGGGGGACATCAGGAACTGTTGTGGAGAGACATTTCTCCATGGGTGGAGAATCAAGGCCAGTGACCCCAGGCCCTGAACCTCTCTGGAGGTTTCCTATTGCATGCAGAGCCTGCTGAGAAACTCAGCCAGAAGTAGGGCACTGGCAACAGCTGGCTCCAATTGCTCTGCAGCTGGAGACTTGGTCAAGCTCCTTTTCACCTATGGGAAGAGGCCACTGTGGTTGATTTCACACAGACTTCAATGCAGCAAATATGTGTGAGCTCCACTCAGCCACCCAAGTTCATAAATCAAATAAATCTTTAAGGCAAGAATTTTGTTTGACAAAATTAAGTGGCTTGGTAAGATGTGGTCACCTGCACTTTCACAAACAGGGTCTCAAATACATGGCACACATTTCTATTCTGGCTCCCTTCTAGACTTTTTGGTGGGACTAGACAAGTGGCTGTAGTCTGAAGGACTACAATTGCCCTCTCCTATCATGTCTTCTCAGCATGGAGAAGATGAACAAGACATCAGATGAAACCATGCCTACTTAGTAACCTGGTGCTCATTACAGAGCCAGGAGCAATGGACAGCTGTGTCACATTATGTGTGATAAACACCCTCTACCAAAAGAGACAGCAATAGATACACAGCACACGTGGTTTCCCAGGATTCGGCAGCTCTTTGCTTCCCAGCCCTGGAGGACTGACGGGCTGCCTTGTGTGCATGAACATGGGAAAGAGATAGGAGTACATGGCTGCCGTACTCCATTCACCACCCACACTGCTTGTTCCTCATGCTGTGGCAGCCCATACCTGTCTTCCTCACATCTTTTCTGAAAAGAAACTGAGCCACTCTGGCATCAGGCATGAAGCAGTCACCCACTGCTAGTGGATCCATGTGCTTGTTTTCTTTTGGTCCCCTAATGATTCAGCATTATCTGCTAATAGAATTTATTCAGCTTCAACTGCCTAGAAGCTGTGCCCCCAAAGAACCAGATTAAGTAGAAAAAGCAGCCATTCTGTCTCCTAAAGACCCTGAGTTCTCAACAGCAACCAGAATGACTAAGCATTCTGCCAGCCAGCCTACTTATAAATTCTCATTTTTAACAGGAAAAGATTGTCTCTAAGACAGGGCTTGGAAAAATGCCATCTGCCCAATACTGCAGCCTGCTGGAGGTCATGACCTTGTCTCCACACCTGCCACTTGCACTCTATGTACCAACACATCCTAGGCTGAAGTAGAGAGGAGGAGAGGATTAGTGACAACTCTCAATTTTTGGAGGAAGAGATGGGAGCAGCCACTCCCATTTCAGCCACAAAAAGAGGCATATTTTATCTGTATTTTTTATTTGGCATTACATTTTTTGGTTCCCATAGTCCCTAGGGAGTTAAGTCTGGTCAGTCTTTCCTGGGTGTCCAGCCTGCCTCTCTGGGACAGTGGCCCTCACATTGTATTGTCATAGCTGTCCTTCCTTACTGCTGAGTATCACCATCTCCCCTCTCTGTGCTATGTCCATTGGTGTGACAGCAAGGCCAGGGCCACAGCTGCTCAATGGACAGCTGCTGCCTCCCACTGATCCCATGGTCCACACCTACTCCCACCGTGGGCTCCTTTGATAAACCTGGCTCACTACTCTGAACAGAACTTTTACTTTTCCCTGAATGATGACTAGACTAGAAAGGCTGCACCCGCAGTCCCAAGACAGATGGATCTCAGCTTCCCAGGCACCTTCACAGAGCCTCAATCGGTTAACACCAACAGGACATGTCCTCTCCTGAGGAGAAGCTCTTCCCAGGGGAAGTTTTGGGAAAGGCCTCCATGAAGCAGGGAGAGACAGAGCTATGTCATCTCCAGGGGGCATGCCGGGCTGAAGCAGGGCTAGAGGGCCAAGTGGTCACACAGAAGCATGAAGGGAAGCCGTTCACAAGCATGCAGGGGATGCCAGCTGTCAGGGTGTGCACGCTATGGCTTGGAGCTGGAGACAGTACCTGCTGAAAGACTACAGTGGGCAGGCGTTTCCTCAGTGGCTCTCTCGCCCTGCTGCTCATTCACATGCCAGCCAGTCTGGACTGAAGTGCTCTCTGCACTGTGTGGTTGCTGCTCCCTGAGCCTTGCCTGCTTATCTCTGACTGCAGTGCTATGGGGAAAACCCCGCAGGTTTGGACTGCTCTAATTCTGGACACCTACTTCTATATTGACCTGCCAATCTCTCATAATCCCATTCAGCCTTGTTTAATGAAAGACACCACAGAACTAATTAAGGAAAATTAAATTAATATTGACTTAATGTAAATAGCAAGTAAAGGTTATGTTTGAAAAGGTTATATATGTCAGGGCTGCCTTTGTTTTTCTAGTTGATAATTCCAAAAAAAAATGGTGGGGGTTATTACTAACATTTTCATGTATACATAGATTTTTAATTTTTATTTTTAATTTATGTGTATGAGCATTTGGCCTGCATGTATGTAAGTGCACCCATGTTGTACAATGCCCACAGAGGCCAGAAGAGGGTGTCAGAGTCCCCTGGAAGTGGAGTTATAGACAATTGTCAGCCACAATGTGGGTGATGGAAACCGAACCCAGGCCCTCTGGAAGAGCAGACAGTGCTCTTAACTGCTGAACCATCTCTCCACTACATAGATTTTAAAAAGTCTACTCTATTAATCAGGACCAGAGGGTAAAAGATGTCATCAGACTATTTACTTCCAAATTGTGATTATACATTAACATCAGAAGATGTAATATAGTCACAATGAAAAGTAAAAAGTCACTTCTATCTTGAGCTTCCTCATCTGCTTTGAGAATCTGTTCTTTCATAATTCTGCTATTCTCCTCTCACAATGATTGATTCCCAGGCAGAGCAGCAGCCTTCAGAATCAGAAAATTCGAGCCACAAACTCTCATCAGCAATGTTGGCTGTAGTAATATGCTCTGAGAGGGAATAAAGCTTCATACACTCTTTTCTCCCTAATGGTAACTGCTAGAGCACGTTAGGACAGTTCTCTGAGGTTTGTGGTTCTAAGAAGACAGGGGCAGTGTGGAGAGCCTTGTGCTCTTGTGCCTACCAAGCCCCTTCCAGGCTTTCCATCCCAGGAGTCTTTTACTTCAAGAACCTCAGCTTCTCAGGCTGCATTTCAGGAAGGCACTCAGATGGGCCTTAAACTCAGGATCAATTACTGCCAAACCACAGAGGTGCATGTAAATAAAGGATTATATTTACATTTTTACAGGCGAGGAGACTAGGGATATACCTGACTTGTGGGGTTCCTCTACAGTGTGGCCCTTGAACCCTTTTCCTGACTTCTGGGAGACTGGGACATGCTTTTATGGAAAACGTTTATATCCCTTGTATAAATGTAGCAAGTCCCCACTTTAAGCAATAAAGGTGGTTAAAGATTTTAATGTAGCCTTGTTTCCTTAAAAAAAAAAAAAAAAATCAAGACTTTTTTTTTTTTTAACTTTAAGAGGAGCCTGGTAATGAAATCTTTTTATAAAAAGCTCTAATGTGATGAAAGCACCAAAATGTAAAATGTGTCTCTTTCCTATTATGAACTGTTTTTTCTTTTTTTCTAAATTTATTTCTGTGGGTGTCCATGCATGCATGTGTGCACAAGCTGATAGAGGCCAGAAGAGGGCACTGGATTCCCTGGAGCTAGAGTTGCAGGAGGTTGTAAGGTGCCTAATGTGGGTGCTGGAAACCCAACTCCGGTCCTCTGTAAGAGCAGCAAGTGCTCCTAACTGCTGAGCCATCTCTCCAGCCTCCTGGATCACTTTTAAACCAGAAATGAAGCCACATCTAATTGAGCTGGCTTTCAGAGAGAGAAATGCACTTCCTGAGGAGGGAGCAGGGCTGCCATAAGCTAAAGGCTCAGGTCCTTCAAATGCCCTGGAGCACTTGTACATCAACATGTTCTTAAACATGATCTAAGGAACACTGATTTCATGTATGAAAAAAATGATGAAATTAGCTTAGGAACATTAGGTCAAAGACAAGGGCCTTGAACTTTTTTAAATTATAGGCCTTCTTGGAGTCTTTAATGTGAACTGTGACTCTCTAGGGAGAAGATGGAGCAATCTGCCCAGCCAGACTCAGGGCTCTATGAACATTCTCTGGAGAACATACATGGTCATTTGAGAATGACTTAACAGCACTGATCCTACTTCCAGGGAATTGCTTGGTGTCCTTTCACTTTGGGTGGAGGTGGTTTTAAGATTTACGATGTCTATCTTTAGGAAAATTAGTGGTTAGAATCATTTTCTGTGTAGCAGTAATGATGGCATTGGGAAGGATGTCAAGGATACAGCCGGCTCTCTCTAAAATGTACGGATGGTCCTGTGGGGAGCTGGGTGTCACATATATCACAAGCCACCAGAGGTGCTTTTCATCCACCCTCAAATGGATGCTGTCCCTGCCATCCTTCCTCTGTAGTCCTCAGCCCAGCACTGCTTCGGCTTACCCCCAGGCTATAGCTGAGTGCACTGGAGCCTAAGGGAGCGGGACCTAGGTGGCGGAGTGGGCAAGCAGGGGCAGCAAGATGGTCACATCACCCAACATTCCCAACACTTGAAAACCACAATATACATTCCATGTGGAGAGGGTTGTGATTCTGGAGACCCTCAGGAGGGTTAGTAGATTGGAAGACTACTTACTAACTGAAAAAAGGGAGGGAAAGCCATGAAAGTGTGCTTCTGGAGAGTTGCCTTGGAACAACAGATCAAACCAAAAATTAAAACCAAGAAACAAAACAGTTGAAAACTCAAAATTAAGGCTAAGAAAGCACAGAGGGTTCTAGTAACCTTCCAACTACAAGTCTGGCTGACTGGAGTCAGATTTCAACTCAGTGACACACATTTTCCCACTAACAATGACTTTTGTTTTAAAGTAAAGAAAGGCCAATCGGGCATTCCTTTCCACACTGACATGTTCCCCTGGTACATGGAAGCAGACCAATTCATGTTCTGCCTTTTGTTTCCAAAGCAGGAAACTCCAAAAGGGAAAAATAATGAAATGAGTAGGTTTTGATCTTTCCACAGATTAACCTTTATCCTAAGTTCATCAATGTGCAGGGCTGGGGTAGTTTTCATTGTTAGGAAAGAGTTTGGATTGAAATTTTTTAAAGTTAGAGCAAGAAATTCTTCAGTTACTGGTATTGCCCTACTCCAACCAAAAAGTTACGTCTATGAGGAGGAAAGAACCTTGGGAACGCTAGGTATAGCAAAATACCTGGTTACCAGCTAGGCACTCCTGAGGACAGGACAAGGGCTCACAGACGGGACAAGGGCTCATGGCTTCACCCAGAATAAACATGGAGCAGTGGTTGGGACACACTATATTCAGCAGAAAACTCAGTAGGTGTTCATTGCCCCAACAATTTACTAGTTAGTCTGATATGAAGGGAAGTCTTGCCCCACTGGAAGAGCTGGAAGTTCAGAAGGAAGCCAGCTCCCAGAACGAACATGATGAAAATTGGCAGGGTACAGAAGTAGGTGTCTGCCATAAAGAGTGGATGGGGCAGTGGGAACATACAGTATTCTAGAACAGCAAGAGCTCATTCAAGCAATAAAAACCAAAGCCAATGTAAAAAACTTTTTTTTTTGGGAAAAATCAAAGTTAGCAATTGTTCCTAGGCATTATATTAGGGGAAAATGCCTGATTTGAGGTGGATTAAAACACACAAACACACACACACACACACACACACACACACACACAAGCAGTTTTAAATATCACCTTTGCCTTCCATTTAATAAAATTGGGGTAGTCATAACAGCAAAGCCTCACATGCCTTTAATCCCAGTATTGGGAAGGCAGGCAGGCAGATTCTCTGCGAGTACAATGACAGCCTGGTCTACATGGTGAGTTCCAGGTCAGCTAGGACCAGAGAATAAAACTGCGTTTCAACCCTCCACCCCTAACAGCAACAAAAATCAAAAAGTAAGTCTGGACACTGCATATCCAGATGGGAAAGGTCAAGAGTCAGGGCTGGTGAACATGTGACTCTTAGAAGAATCTTTGTTCTAGGCCTGGTATGAAGGGTTAACACAGTGTCGCTGTCCTAAAGACATACCCTGGACAAAGTAGTTCTTTCTGGCAGCAATCCCTGTTGTGGGCTTTTGTTCAGCATGTAAGAGAATTTGGAACAAAGATGAGCCCTTATAAATCACAGATACAGGGATTAAACTTTCTGGCCGTGCTGGCAGAAAGTGAACATTAAATAAATGAGCAAAGGAAAGTGAGGATGGGCTCTCCTGGGGGTCCGTATTTAGGTCCCTTTAAAGGGCTTTACCAACCAATGTAGTTTTATTTTAATATGGGGATTTTTCTTTTTAAATTGATGAGTCCTAGAACTCCCTAAAAGGTAGACTTTCAAAATTTCTGTATTATTTAAAAGCAAGGTTAGGTGAAGATGCCATTCAATTTCCCTACATAATTTCATGATACAAACCCCATCTCCCTTCTTTGCCAATGAAAAACAATTTGCAGCACTGTTTCTCAAAATGTGTTCCATAACCTGCTGGCACAGGAATCATGAGGGATGGCTTATTAATTCAGACCTTACTCCCCTGGCCTATGTTAACATGCTGATGGCCATCATCTCTACCATGTGGCCTTCATTGTTATATGTGGTTGGAATAAATTAATTTCCAAATTGAAATTCAGACATTTTTAGTATTAAATTATTTGCAAAATACTAGAACTTGCATTTTCTTTTCTGTATATGTGTGTGTTTATTCATATGTGTGAGGGTACACATGTATGTGGAGGGAGGCAAGAGGTCAACTTTGGGTGATGTTCCTCCCAGAAGCCATCTACTTAGTTTTTTTAAGACAAGGTCTCTCACTGATTTGGAGTTCACTAAGTAGAAGAGGCTAGCTGGTCAGTGAGCCTCTGTCTCTCCAGTGCTGTGATTACAGATGCATAATGCTCTAACTTGCTTTTATATGGGTTCTGGGAAGCAAATTTTGGGTCTTCATTTTATCCACAGAGCCATCTCCTTAGCCCATACTTTTTCTTTAGCAATCTTACTTTCTTCCATTTATGTAACTCCAGGAAAGCTCAGAACGATCCAGAGCTAGAAGTGATATTCTAGAAAAGGCTCCATTTGTTTTACTGAGAACCCTTTACTTTCTGGAGGAGTCTGGAATGTGGACACTAATATCTGCAATCTTAGCTTTCCTTCTGTCCCCAACAGTTTGGGATTTTCAAATAGGCAAGATATTCTCTCTGACAAATTTGAAGGAATTTCCTAGCCAGTTTATCAGTTGGAAGATTATCAGAAAATAAAACATTAGGCAAATGAAGCAGGTCTAACAAAGAAAGGAGAAAACCATGTTTACAGAGTGAAGGTTCCCGATGGGGACCTGGGTCACTGAATGAATGAGCAGCGGGGGGCCACACAAAGGTGTCAGGTTTGGGATGAGAATGAAGATGAGAGGACACAAACAGGTGGAGAGGAGACTCGGTTCTTGACAGAGAAGAGGAGGAGGAGGAGTCTGACACTAAAAAGTGAAAAAGAGAAAAAAGAATGAAAGCAAAAAACCCTTTAGAAACGTAACGAAAAAATAAACTAGCTTTAAATATACTCACATAAGCTGCAAAGAAAATGAAGTCATGTCATACACAATCATTCCTCTACTTGGCAATAGGATACAAGTGCTTTTCCAAAAAACAAATTTGTTTGTCCACTGGTTATTTAATTGTTCTGCAACAACATCATGGAGTAAAAATAAGTTATATTTACCTGGACACAGATTTAGTAGTGTGACACACTGAAAAGAATACATCTTTAATTTACAATACACAGGGCCTTCTACACAACACTGTTTGATCTTCAACTGGAAAGGGCTAGGACTTGACTGCACAGATTTGTTTTTTCTGAGAAGCACTTATATGAAGTTTACTTGAAAACTCAAGTTTCCCAAGGTACATGTACTTAGTGTAACGACATGTCATGGTCCCAGTGTTGTAACAATGGAATGCTAAGCTTTTGGGGGTGGTCTGTGGTTGGGTAGACTGGTTGAGTACTTTGGGAAAGGGAGTTTGTACTACCGCCTTCAGGTCTGAGCTAGAAGGGGCAAGGCCAAAACCACCACATCTCCAATCAGAAACTTTCCTAAACAAAATGGCGTTGAACTTTTCAAGTTAAAAAATTATTTTGCTTAGGATAGATATCTGATAATCTACTAGTGATAAACCCCCTTGCCCCATATCCTGTTTTGAAGGCAAAAGAAAGAAAAAAATATTTTTTCATCCTCTATTTCAGGAACTATCAACTTATTCTGAAGAAAAGACAATGACTCAGAGCTTCAAAGACTGTCGCTCCATTTGATTCCTCTTTTTTGCTGGCTGGGAGAAGGTAGCCAGGGGCATAGCAGAAGGGACACCATGTTCTGTGAAGAGGGCCTTCTTAGTGCATGTCTGCTTTATAAAACTTAACTCCACTCTCCTAGCTACACTGGACTTGGCTGGTCCAACTTCGATATGTGCTCTCCTCCTCCTATTCTTCAGAGAGAAAGGCACATGCATAATTTTAGAGGTGGAAAGCCCTATTCCAGGTAATCAACCGCTACTGGAATCAAGATCACTGAGTCTACACTGTGTAATGACTGGAAGGCGCAATCATGGTTTATGGTTAAATAAAGTTCTTACCTGATAGGTATATAACCTAACATAACTTAGTGACAGGTGATGGGAATTTATTTTATTAGTATCTCAAGTCTGGTACATTTGAAATTTTTCCGTAAGATAATTTAAAAAATAAATTAACTTATTTCTGGAGAAAATCCAAAAGCACGCCAAGATCTGTGGCCTGTCCAGGGGTCTGTGTGTAGTGAGGGCTTCTGGCCCAGGCCCCAAAGTGGCAGGATCCAGACAATGGAAGGTTGTCATTATTTTGGTTATGCCCTCTTTCTGATACCACCATTGTATGACTTTGCTTGTGTTAGAGGCCCTGGGATTTAGGAAAACAGGCATCAGGCAGGGCATGGATTGAAAACATGGTGCCACCTGTGGGAGCTTTGCTCTCCCAGAGAGACTCTAATCCTAGAGCCACCCCTGTTAAACCAGGGGACATTCTGACTCCCTCTTCTCTTTCGCTCTATAGCCCAGTCTCTTTTCTAATTTCACAGTGCTGCAGTGGATGCTCAAAGTCAGCCAGCCTCCTCTAGCACCATATGAGCCAAAAACTGTGGCAAAGGGAAGAAAACTGCTTGAGATGGTGCTAGCTCATCATGCAGTGCTTCAGAGCTGTAAAACAGAACTAGGACTTTCTCTGTGGATGTACAAGGAGGCATCCTCAGGATGTAAGGGGAGATGAAGAATGCCAGGTGCTACAGAGCACACACAGCAAGTGACTGCTCATCGGCAGGGCATGGGAAATAATGCATATGCTTACTTGCAAGAGAGAACACTGGCAGGGTAAACAGAAAGCTAATAAAGGTGGTTGCTTTCAGGGAAAGGGATGATGGAGGTGCAGGCATGGGCACAGCTTCTCCACACTACCTGTGAGTTAGCTTCATGTTTTAAATTACAAGATGTATTTCCTCTTGAAATGAAATCAAAGTGAGAGAAACAGATAAAATCTCTTGGCAGCTGAGGCACTAAGGAAAGGAAAGTCCTAGAGACTTCACTAGGAAAATGAAAGAAAGTAGGGTTTCATGAATCAGTATGCAGGTGCCGCTTCCACTTCTAGATGGGTCTTCCTAATACTTCTGACTTACACCATCACTTCAGAGTATTTTACACTCGATGGGGCCTGCTAATGAGGAAGCTTCCTGGCTACCTGTTCCCCTGGTCCGCAGGTTAAAATGATGCTGTGCAAATAGTATTTTTTGGCACTGGCAGCAGGTCAGGCAGAAGGCATCTTGGAGGGTTATTTTACATAGTGTAACAAGGTGGTCACTGGTTCACCTGACTCCACCACTGTTTGCACAGAAACCAGCAATCCAGACTCTAGACATCTAGGCCTCCTTGAAGTGAGGAACCTTTCCAAGGGAACAGCCACATAAGTGACATTAAAGTGAAGAAGGGAGAAGAAAGTGGGTAGTAGTGCTGGCCAGGGCCACACAGACACAATCCACTTGGACAACATGGCTCCTGAGAAGCTTTATGCTGCAGAGGACACCTGAGAGCTCTAGGAAAATGTCCCCAGGGGCAGAGGACAGCATGAACACACAGGCTTCGTTTATTTCCTCCTGCTATCTATTATCAACAGATGGCATTCAAGACTTGGGATCTCACGAGAAATGAAGGTCCAAGCCAGCTGGTAGGAAAGAAGTTTGGATTTAGAATGCCTGCTCTCATGGGGCACGAGGGAGAAGCCAGAGGGGCTGACAACCCTCAGCAGCCACGGCAGCTTTTATTCAATCAGCCTGAATCACTGCAGTGGCCAAAGTTAAGTGTTCCTGGCCTTCCTTTTCTTTTCACGTCCCAGCCTCACCTTGTCTTGACTAGAGCCTGCCCTTTCCTTTCCTATAGCAAGGGGCTTAGAAAGCCCCCTGGGACAACTACATCCACAAGGCAGAGACTTCTGCTGTCCTGGGTCAGTTGGCTCTGCCTCACTTGCAATCTGTACCCACCCATGGCTGCTGACCAATCTGGAACAGGCCACTCCAGGGGAATTCCCTGTGGTTCTAGTCAGTCCACCTGTAAGCAATAGCTGCCAGCCAGGTTAAACTGCACTAAGCCACAATTTGTGTTGCTTCTTGTATTCAACAATCCTTAGAACAGAAGTTCCCAGGGGCCTTGGATGGGACTTCTTAGGCTGACTGAATTTGGAGGAAGGGAGCATCAGCAAGAATGAGAAGCTGTGAGGGTGAGTTTGTGAGCACCCCAGGGCTCCCCAAGGTCCCATTCCTCCTACCCAGGTAGGCTCAGATTTTCCAGAGGATGTGACCTGGCTATCTTTGGAAGGGTTCTATTGGTCTTCTGGGATGTGGCACAAGAACAGAAAAGAGATCTTGAGACTCTTTCTGCAAAGCCAGCTCATAAAAGACCAAGCTAGCCACACAGGGACTAAGGCTGAGTGTCCCCTGTAGGCAGGGGAGAAGTGAGAAGCTGGTTCTAAAGATGTTCTAGAACTTCCTCTGAGACTCAAAGCAGAGTGAATTTCATTAAGTTCTGTGGGTCTGTGGAGTCCCTCAAATTGTCACCGAATAGCTGGTATCACTGCTGGAACTGCCTGATTGGAGCTATGGAAATTAGGGAGACATACTTACTTCCTACACTCAGGGGGCTGTGGAGCACACAATATGAAGCTATGGAATTCTCATCGAGTATACTACCCTCCAAGAGGTCTTTACCAGCCAAGGCAGAAACATTTGTTCAGAGGCAATAAGTGCTATGAGCTGCCACGTGAGCACAGTAGAATCAGCAGCTCAGAAGCCCCTGCCACCTGACAGTCCTGCTGGAAGCATGTGTGTTTATATGTGTGACTGATTAGAAACCAGAATAGCTAATTTCAGCAAGGTCAGAAACCTAAAGGGAGAAAGAGCAGAGAGGAAACCTGATGTGAATGGAAATCACCAATTTTTGCAAGTTTAAGCACCCAGAGTAACAGAAAACGGAGATTTCAAACTCAGTCTTGGCTAATAATGTCACTTTCCTCACTATAAACCAACTCTGTGCGATGAGACTGGAGAAGTACATCTCAGTTAAGTGTCTAGCCATCTACCCGAGGCCCCTTTCCACCCCTAAAGCCTGCAGTCTCACTCGCACCACTCAGCAGCTGGCCCCACTTTCTGGTCCCCTTCCTTTCACTCCCTCTGGCCTTTGATTCTCACCTGTCTCAGGATCGCTGAAGTCTGGCAAAGTGATTGTATTAAGCTGTCGTCTGTCAGCGATGGTTCTATCTAAGAGGCTGCTCCCGCGTCCAGAGTCACTGCAAAACACACTGCAAATGTCAGTCGCTTGAAGGAGATCCAGCCGGTGTAGAAGGCTGAAACAGAGGCATGCCTTTTGTGTGTCTGGATGCTCCTCACATCCTTCCACATATGAAGATGCCCTGCACCCTGGTTTTAGTGTTTGGTATCACAAACACAGCTTAAATGACTCCCACGGACTTTTGCTGATTTTACTCTCTTGTGTCACTCTAAGATCTGAGAGTGAAGACTAGGCTGTAAGATGGCTCTGCAGTGAAGAGTGCTTGTCATGCAAGCTGAAGACCTGATTTTGTTCCCTAAAACTCATGGTGGAAGGAGAGAACCAACTCCCAAAAGTTGTCCTCTGACCTTCACAGGCACGCTCTGGCACATGCTTAGCTGCATACACACACACACACACACACAGTGAAAACTTCTAGCCAGTTTCATGCTTAGCTACACACACACACACACACACACACACACACACACACACAGTGAAAACTTCTAGCCAGTTTCTACCTGACAGGAAGAGAATTTTTCATGCTTAGCTACACACACACACACACACACACACACACACACACACAGAGTGAAAACTTCTAGCCAGTTTCTACCTGACAGGAAGAGAATGGTTGGCATTCAGTGCCATAGAGTTTTGGAATGAATTTATCTAGCAACTAAATGTAGTACCTTCCAAGATACCTTCACCAGCCACACCAGAGTTCTGAACACCATGGCATGAGAAAAATCACCCAGAGCATTTCCAAAACACCCCCACATCAAGGTCTCACTCCAGACTAACTAGGGCAATTATCATTTCTCAAAACTCCTTCTGTGGTTCCCAGGGGCAGCTGCAGGATTTGAAGTTTCCTGGCCTTTGCTTTCCAGTGTGCTCACAGTCATGAGCTTGAGTGTTTCCCCAGATCAAGCTTTTAGGCTACTTTACATGGCTAAGAGTCACTTAATTCACAAGAGAAAGGTGGTGTAAGGTGACTCAATGAGCAGCTCCCTGCAGAGCTAGGGCTAGGGCCCCTCTAGCTTTCCAGAGCTCAGAAGGCTGGTCAGAGGGACTTGGGAAAAACAGCAGGGCTTTGGTGTCTGCCCCCCAGATGGCCACTCCCACTAGCTTCCTGCACTGCCCACCTTCTTGAATCCCCTTACTCCAGTTTGGCCTACAAAATAGGCTTGGCATTCTTTACTCAGTGTGTTACATGGAAGCCACAGCAGCCTGAGCAGGGGGTGAAACAGTTAAGGGACTCTAGCCATACAGAGTTTCTAAAAATTCTAGGAAGGTAGTTAGGTAGATCATTGCTTTTGTTTTTTGTGGTTTTTTTTTTTTTTCTATTACGCTAATCTGTCTGGAGCTCTAGGAGTGATTTTTTTTTTTTTTCCTGTTAAGAAGTTTGAATTTCACAACAAAGGAACACAGTTTCCTTCCTGTGTGCAGCTGTTGCTGCTTTAAAGCAGCAAACAAGATTTGGAGTGAACCTTAACACAGTTTACAGGCTGCAATTTCCACATCCAGAGATGTAGTTAGAGAAATCCACAGGAAGCAAGGAAATGTCCTTCACTGTAGTCTGTCAGCCTACACTTACTACGTCATCCCATACAGGTCTGCTAGAAGCTGCTCTATTATTTCCAGGCTGGGAAACAACAAATCTCTCTTAGCAGAAGACAATGCGAGAGGATGTACAAATGTTCATCAACTGCAAAACAGACTGAATGCTGGTCTGTTCATATCAAATTTTTATATAAATATCTGAATACTGCAGTGGCTTCTTCATTTCAGAAAGTTTTGTCTCAATATACGCTGACAGTTTCCTTCACTATGGGGATTCTAAAACACATAGTGAGGTGTTGGTATTGTAAAGGACACACCTACCTGGGCACTCAGTGGACCATACCCAGGGTTATTTTAGTCATACTGCTGCAGGTTTGCATCTTACCAACTTTCAGAGCATTAGCTTGGTTGCCATGTGTGATGCTTTATAAGGACCCAAAGCTGGGGTCCTGGAACCCAGATAGCTCTTATCTTATAGTTGTAACTGAGCAAGGCCATTGTACCTCAGTGACTTTCCTGGCCAGATAACAATTATCCTACACAGAACTATGTAAAGATAGAATAAGGTGGTGTAGGTAGAATATTCTGGGGAGTTATAACTTCTAGGTACATGCCAAGCATAATAACACCTACTATAAACACATGTCTGTGTTACTATGGCTGGTGAATTCCCAGGGACACCTTACTCCTGGCCTTCTGGTGATACTTTAGAAGGTGTGGGAAGTCAAGGACATCCTACTCCAAGTATTAGGAATCTCAGCTACAACCATCATCTTCATTTGTGGCACTCACTCACTCAATAACACAAGATCCATCTCCTCCCATCACACAGAAACTACATGCAGTTACATTCCTCAGTCTTTCATAATTCCTTTAAAAACAGTGTACAAGAAATGATTGTACAAGCAAGAGTGTACAAGCAAATGGAGATGCTTCCGTTTCCATATTGGATGTTTTCTTTCTGTGTATAACTGGTTTTGTGACTGGAAACTTCGCTGGATATTTCAAGTCATTTTTAGCTTTCCCTTTACATAGTGCAGAGATTTGGCAAGATTTGCCTTTGCTAAAGTCCATAAAATGTTGGAGAAGGAGGCAAGAGGAGGCTTTGGCCAACTCGTGAGTCTCCTCAATCCTCTCACTGAGTTGAAAGAGTCACCTTCCTTTCTCCCTTTGGACACTGTTGGGCACCTCTCACAGACCCCCTATCATCTTACCTCTCTTCTTCTCAGCCTGACCCTGAGGCTGCTAGGAACACCTCCCAAGGAAGACAACGGGAAGGGACAGAAAACTGTTCTTGGTCAGCTGTACTAAGAGGTGGTTCAGGGAGAGGAACTCAGAAGGCCCCCCTTCCTATAGCATGTAAGCTGAAGATGTCTACTAACAGCTATGTGCACCTCCAACAAATTTCTGTTCCATTAGGACTGAAAATTCAGAGTATAGTGTAATGGCAGTTACAATTATCCTCAAAATTGCAAGCTTCTTTTTCTTATAATTTCCATCTTCCAAAGACACAGAGAGCCTAAGCCCAAGGGGCAAGGTGGTGGTGGTAGTGGTGGTGTCAGGACTAGAGCTCTTGTCACAGCCTCACCTCTTTCCAGCTCCTGGAATAGTGTGTGACATACAATAAATATCGGGTCTAAGAGAGGGGCTGTGGGTAGAAAATCATAGCAGAGGCTGAGAGGAGAGGAGCTCTTGCTTTTCTCTTTTCTCTAGCCTTTTAGGTCTGGATATATGAATCATTTAAGTTCCCAGTGTTCCTGAGCCTCAACTTTTTCAATCATAAAATAGAATTTGCCTACGTAGTATGGTTTCGCTGAAGACAAAATGAGAGCATGCTTTGTAAAATAAAAAAGCTTCACCAAAATGCTGGTGACTATTAGTGAGGTTAAGTGAAGAAAATGAGAGTGTATGTGGGAAGTTTAAATGCTATTTGTTGGTGAGTGACTGATATACAAGTTAGAAAGAAAATAAGTTACTTCCAATTACGAAGATGTCAACCCATGGCTAATGATAAGAGATGATTCAAGTGGCAGTTATCAGAGCGGGGAAAAAGTGACTGACAATTAAAAGAGAGAAAAAACGAAATTGATTGTCATCAACAGAGGTAGCATGCTGTCATAGGGAGAGCTATGATGTCAGACAGACCTGGGTTTGAGCACAGCTCTACTGCTTATTTAACTTGGAAAGCTTAGGTGTGCTGTGTAGCCTCCTTTAGCTTCAATTTTATTTCCTCTAAAGTAGAACTAGCAGGAGTTATCTTGCAAGGCTAACGCAGGGATTGAACACAACATATCAATGACCTAGTACAATGCTAGCACAGAGGTTTCAATAAAAGTGGTTGTGTTTATCCCTTACTGAAATGCTGCGATAGTGTTGGGAACCCATGGAGAACCTATCTGCTGATATCCTGGCCAGATTCATGCTGTCTTGAGTGGCCAACTCATTATGTACCAGAACTGGGGGTAGGGGAGTTCTTTATCCTTTACTAAAGGTGTTCATTTGTATGAGATTGTCCCCCATAGGCTCCAAGTATTTGAACATTTGGTCAGTTGGTTTTGGGAGGTCATGGAACCTTCAGGAAATGTGGCCTCATTGGAAGAAGTATGTCACTGGGGTGGGCTTTCAGAGTCCCATAGTCATGTCCCACTTCCAGGTTCCCTCCCTCTCTCTGTTTCCTGCATGTGCTTGAAGATGTAAGCCCTCAGCTTTCTGCTCTGGCTGCCTCCTGCCATGCATCCTCACCATGATGGACTCTAATTCTGGAACTGTAAACCAAATAAACTTTTCCTTCTATAAGTTGCCTTGGTCATGGTATTTTGTTAAAGCAACAGAAAAGTAATTACTACACTAAGGGAGAAAAGACAGATCCCTACCCTGACTGCAGGCAAAGTCGCAGACTGAGGGAAACATCCAGGTTCCTGAAACGACACCTCACTAAATGCATACTGGAGAGAATACCACCCACTACTTTGCTCAAAGCAAGAACTGTATTCTACAACTGCAGGTGGAACCCTATTGGCAAGTTTTCTAGGGCTCAGTTCAACAGCTGGCTTCTACTGTGATTTCTCTCAAGCAAAAATAAGTCGAAATGTGCTGCTGAGTATACAAAGTGAGGGTCTATTCTCAATTTGGCCACTTACTCTCTCTGTTGCTGCCCACTTCTTCCTTGGCCTCCTCTTACTGCCCACAGGGCCTACCTGATCCTCTGGGTGGATATGGAAGGGTCTGGGAAGACTGGGAAACCCTGCAGTTGTAGCAAAGGGGCCACCACAACTGAGTATGTGCAGTGGCAAGGACATACCAGCCAAAAAGTCAGCATGGACCTACTCCCTCCAGAAAGAAACCAGCTGCTTCCTGCCAAAACCTTTCTGTTCAATTCTCAGCTTATTTTATTTTTAATAAAGGATGCCTCTCATAGACCTCTTATTATATGCCTACCCTGTTTCAAGCCCCAGCTGATCCAAGGCAGCCTCTGGGATGTTGGTCCCACATTACTGTGTCCAGAGGCTATGGGGGGTACAGACCCTGTGGAGCATACCCTCTTTGTGCATACTGCACTCTCTGGCCAGGACTACTTTAGACCCCTGCAGCCTGAACATGCCTGAATCTGTGCAATGGAGAAGGCTGCCGAGAAACATGTATTTATATCTCAGAGAAAATGAAGTTGAAACAAATATACAGGGAGCCCCCTGGTAATGGGCTGCTCAGCCTACCACATCACACTCAAACCTTTGCGGGGGTGCTACTCCACCCAAGGCAGGCCACTACCACACTGCACTGGCCCTGAAAGATCCTCCAAGGAAGGAGGAAGTGTGGACACAGCACCCAGGCGTTTGGTTAAGTATTTTTAAAAGCTTTCCAATTCTGCTATTTTTTCTCTGCACATTCAATATTCTTGGTTGCTAAGTGGGAGGAAATGTGGGGAGGTGGGAGAGGTGTGGAGAACAGAGAGAAAATTGGCAAGGAGAAAACCCATGGTTTATTTTCTCCTTTCTAAAGAGGGTACAGGCAAAAGATGGGCTCTAGCACAGAGGCAACCAGCTGAGGCAGTGTCTGCTGTGTCTGGATTATAAGACAAAGACTCCCCCAAACCTGAGGCTATAATGGTCTGGGGTGGGGATCTGGGGGAGATAAATACAGGTGCTTCCTATTTTTGCTTTCAGACACAGATAAGTAGGATTTTAAGACAATTTAAATGATCTTTATTTTCAGATCAAACCTGTGGAAGGGAAGATGCCAGATTCACAACTATCTACTCTTCACAAGAGGAGTGGGGTATACGGAGCAGCGCAGTGAAGACTAAGTCTCAGAGGGGCTGGCTCCCCTGACTACACTTCCTCTTCCAAGCTGCTGTGCCACTGCAGGGTCACTGAAGTCAGTTTACAGGGAGGCCCAAGGGATCATCAAGGGATCCTGGTTTTGAATACTAGTTTTTTAACAGCAGAAGCCTTTTTTTGTTTGATTGTTTTTTTTTTTTTTTTTTTTTTAAATCAGGTTTCTTTCTGTAGCCCAGGTTGGTCTGGCGCTCTTTATATACCCCAATCTTTTTTTTTTTGTTTTTTTTTTTTTTTTTTTTTTTTTTTAAATACGGTTTCATTCTGTAGCCCAGGTTGGTCTGGAGCTCATTATATAGCCCAACCTGGCCTTGAACTCCCAGCAATTCTTCTGCCTTGGCTTCTAAGAGTGTTAGGTTATAGGCCGTCATACGCAATTCAACTGAAGAAACTTTTGTTTAAAACAAGAAAAGTTCCCCCTTTCCACCGTTCTGCTACTGCCTAACTCACAGCCCACTTTCCCGCTCTGCAGGTCTCTGTAGACCACAGCCACCAACCTATCTCCTTCTAAGCTGATCTGGGCAGGCCACACTCCTGGCATTGATGTGCCACTGCATGACACCTTGTTAGCTTCCTGACTCTTTGAAGCATAACACAGCTTGTCCTTACACCTTGTCATGAATTTGAAAACTATCCTGAATGTTTGAGTTTTGAGAATTCCCTTGCATCACTGGCTAAATTACTTTGGCCACAGGGTAGGTACACTTCATAATCTAAACATTATGCCTGGGCCAGGCTACATGCCCCAGACTTGGAAATGAGCAAATGAGTTATGGGGTGTCTGTCAGAGAATTGCTGGGGGTTAACTGACCCTAGATCAGCTGACTAAAGGGTAACATCTTTGATTTCCCTTAACTAAAACATTTTACAGATTTGAAGGGGAAGAAGTTAACCTGTAGAAAGCCAGTGAGACAGAGTTTATCTGTACATGATACAATTGATTTCTACTCTGTGAAAAAGATGACTCCATAAAATATATTTTATCACTGTATAAAACACTGGTTTTGCATCTGTTTGTACATTCATCTCAGCATTTCTGACACATTTTTCAAATTCTTCTTTGAATGAATCTTAGCATTGTACTGATTCCCTCACAAATTAATGAAGTAAGGAAAATCTTCCATATGTGTTTATTTTCATATTTATATGAGTCATGATTTAACTTTTTCAAAATTATTTCTAATCATGCTCATAGTGATTTCTCTTCTCCTTAGTAGGATATGGCCTGCTGCCTATGCAGATCTTTTAAATATTACTGCAAAAACTTCATTTGGAAAAATGTCACTGACGAGTCTGCTCATAAATTACTACAAAAATGGTTAAGACTTGTCACAGGAGTTGAGCAAATGGCTGGTAGAAAGAAATTAGAGAGAAATAATTTGTAAACTGAGTCCATGGGTCATTATGGGGGAGAAAAAAATACACAAAAGAAACCTACGACTTAGAGAGAGACTTCATCAGCTATGGAAGAACAGTATCTTAAAATAGTGTAAAGCTCCATCACTGTTCTCTGCCACTTGTAGACAGATACAGGGGACTGACAGAGTTAACGCCCGCTAAATACCCATCGGAGCCGAGTCTGATAGGCAGGGACTCATGCAAATGCCACACAAAATAGGCACTGCTGGCCTCTTACCTGGGATTGGTGAGGTTATAGCAGGATTTCCATATTTGTAACATGTGCTTACAGGTAAGCAGAGCCTCATCTGGGCCCCGGCAGAGCGACTCCAACTTGACTTTGGAAAACAGTAGTCTACAGTGGAAGACAAGGGAAAAAACACAGCTCAAGTCAGAGGTCCACCTATCAAATCAGATGAGAAGAGGGCTCAGCCTGGGGTGGGGGGCAACTGTATTCATCTCAGGATGGGGACGTCCATGTATGCATGTGGTTTAGGGAAAGTAGTGGCTATGTAGTCAGGGATTCTAGAACTTGCTGCTCAATTCATGGCTTCAAGTAAGTCTCAAAATGGAGACAAACACAAACACAGGATGGCTAATTGTGGTCAGGTATTTGAAAGCATTTGAGTGGCTAGTTTTATTCAGAACACAGAGATTTTATTAAAAGCATGCTTTTTAGAGCTAAGCTGATTTGTGAAACTTCAAAAATTCATTAAAAGTGAATCTTGGTTTATTTATAAGTGTACATACACAGGAGATATGACTCAGTTGATATAAATATCTCCAGAGAGCCCTCCAGGAGGAAGCTTGTCATCTCAGAGGCTTCGAAAGCCTACCTGGTTGGGTATGGTGGCACATGCCTGCAATCCTAGCATATAGGATACCGAGGCAAGAGAACTGCTACCATTGGAGGCTATATAGTGAGTTCCAGGTCAACCTGAGCTACAGAGAGGCTGTTTCTAAAAGAAAGTCTGTTTAAAATTACAGAAGGCAAGAGGACTCTGGCACAGACCTCCTATGTTGACCTGTCCAGTTCTGCCATTTACAGTTAACCTTCGAATCCCTCTACAATCACAAAAATACTTTCCTATTCTTGATCACCCATGTCTTCAGCCTCCATCCAGACCTGAGTGATAAGTTTAGAAATTTCTCTTTCTTAGTCCCTCAGACTCCCCCTACTCCAAACCTTCCTTCTAGCTCTATAGACATCAGTCAATTGACAGCAGATCACAGATTTCTCAGTCCCTGGACTCAGCACCACTATTCTAAGGAATGTCCCAGCACAAGCCCAGATCCCCTTCTGTCTCCTCCTTGCTAAGCTCTCATAAACCTTATAATATAGCCCTCTAATGACTATTTTAGTCCCAGTTAGAGAAACAAATGATTACTTATCGCCTGTAACAGTAAGTCAAAATCCCTTCAAGGCTTTCACCTCACCATTCCCTTCCGTGCCATGCACTCCACTGGACCCTTTATCTCCATCAGTCTACAGCACTGCCCAAGATGCTCATCTCCTTCAGCTATGTATGCTGTATCTTGGATCCTAACCTCAAGTCCTTAACCTCTCTTCAATTCTTCCTTAGTGCAGCCAAACCCACCTCGTCAGATAAGTGTTCCTTCAATCACCTTTCCACTTTTATCTTCCTCACTTGGCATGTACTCCACCGGCTGGAGTTTGTTGCTAATTAAGATTGGAGATGGTACAGCTGCAGATTACTAAAGGCCTCCTATGCACCAGGCCTGCGTGTGACACCTAAACACACTCGTAGCTTCATCTCTGTAATCACCCTTCTGGGTAAGAGGTGTTTATTTTTCTCTAACAGACAGGGACTGGCCAGTGGCTTTTTGGGAGTGATTTTCCTGAATATATGAGCTCCAACTCCCTGATTTTTGGTTGCCCCTCTACAGAGCCTAAGATTGCACTCTGTTCAACAGGCCTTTCATCGCATTTGCTCACAGACTGCTTTCTCTATAACCCAAGGAAAATCAAGAAATGCATTACCAGTGATGTAAATGAGACACACGAGAATTTCTCAGTATATGTGATATAATGCCCACATCCATGGTGTCAAGCGCAGTCAAGCCTGTTTGGAGAAAGATGCGACAGGAGCAGTCCACCCAGTCTATCAAGCTCAGCTCCCCCCACTCTCTCCCAGGGGAACACAGGAAGCACTGGTGGCTCCTGGGGAAGTGCAGGGCCATAATCTCCCCAGGCCTGGGTTTGTGGAACCTGGGCTGATGAAGCAATGGGTCAGATGAGACGCCCCTGGCCTACAAGCAGTGGCACAAAGAGAAAGGCCACATGTGAACATAAAGTACCACTATGACCCACAATGTCTCAAAAATCAAAAACTCCCAGGGAACAGGGTGGAACAGGAAGCAGACTATTAATGCATCTCTCAACTCTCACTAGCGAGGCTTCTTCATGCAACAGAGGGTGATTAACACAGAAAGCTACAACTGGCCAAAGTAAAGAGAAGAAGAAAATGCATCTGTCCTGGGTAGCACACCTATATCAAACCTCTGCCACCCAGGGCTCAAGGATCACTGCAGAAGAGGGGGTAGAAAGAGCCTTATGGGTGACTACATGGAAACAAAACTTTCTAGACAGCTGGGAAGTTACTCAGATGGACTTATAGCAATGGTGACAGCATGCACAAGACCGATGCAAACTCAAACTAGAAAAATTCCCAGCATGAAAGTAAGGAAATGAATAAGAAGCCCTAACCTTAGCTGAGGAACTACTGGCAACTGATGACGAGTACTGGGAGAGAGACAGTGGTGTTCTGTAAGGGTGTGATGCTAGATCGGTTGACCAGGTTCCAGTGGGTGAATTCATACCAAGGGACATTTGGGACACAAACTTGACTCAATAGGCCTTAACATGTATGAGAGAATGCATGAAATCTGATGGGGGGCTTGGGGGCTGCAGACAGGGGAAGGGGTCTAAATGTGATCAAGATGTATTATATGAAATTCACAAAAACTCAATTTAAAATTTCAAGAAAATAATTTTTTTTAAACTTTAAAATTCCCTTAAAGCCTACCAGGCCTCCTACAGGGACTGGTGGCCACTCAAGGGGTCTCAAGGGGTTTTTAAGGGAACCATAAGCTGACTCCTGCTGAGGCCTATATGAGTCTAGAATGTGGTAGGAACAATTTTCTACCAGAATCCGACATGCTAGAAGGGAAAGGAAAGCTACAACTGGTCACCTGTCAGCATTTGGTAGAGATCTATTCAGAACCCCTAGGTGGAGGTAGCTGTCAGTGAACTGTGGCCAGGGGATGGTCCTAGGACTGTGGGACCCAGAGGCCTCTCAGGCACTGCAGGTGGTGGTGGAGTTCTTGGGAGAGGGCACACCAAGCTCCTCTGGCTTGGCCAGGCTCAAAAGAAGGTCAGGGAGTGGGAAATAATGCTTCCCTGCCTACAGCAATTAGCCATGATTCCTTTTACTGTCCCCAAAATAAAAAATGCCAGAGCGCATCTTGAAGCCTTGGCTTGAGGGACTAGTTCTGTGAAGGTTTCCTGGCTGGTAAAAGAACTTCTCATTAACATGAAATATCAGCTTTCAAACACTTGACGCAGGATATGGAGCTGCAAAAGGTGTGGGCTGGATTTAAGAGAACCAGACAGGAAGAACAATAGTAGAACAGCTGAGCACAAATGATGGGAAAGGCTCTTGGAAGTGAGGCAGGGGCAGCAGGAAAGAGCCTAGCAGAGGGAAGAGCTGGGGAGTTACCCAGCATGCACCTGCTGGCTAACACCGTCACCCCAGTGAACACATAAAAGCAGGGAGTAGTGATGCTGCCTCTTCACTCTCTCCCTGAACCTCTGAAGTTTTAAAAGGCAGGAAAGAGTGTTGAAGACAGAACCAGTGATGCCTGTCGTCATCTCTCTGAAACCTGCTCTAATGTCTTAGGGCTGCTGAAAACATCTGGTAGGATGTAAGTTGTGCTGGCACAGAAACACAGACAATGACTGGCATTAATTTGGTGCTGTTGATAACGCAAAGATATTATAAATTAATCTACTGAGGAAATCTTGAGGCAAGATAAACAAAGCAAAACAAGTGATGAAAAAGCTTAGGGCAGACCAGCATTTGATACAGTGCAGTATGGTCTAGTTGCCAACCTGATGCAGACAGGAGGAGAGGAGACCACAGGGATCATGGCTGGCCACATCACCAAGAACAACCAGGACTCAAGTCAGAAGTCATATGCTGGCAAATGTTTTCTCCTACTTCCCATGCCTGGTTCAAAGTTCATTAATCTAATTTTTTTTTTTTTTTTTTTTTTTTTTTGGTCCTTTGGGACAGAGTCTCTCTGTAGCCCAGCTGGCCTGAAACCCACTATGTAGACCATGCTGCCCTTGAACGCACAGAGATCCGCCTGTCTCCCAAGTGCTGGGACTAAAGGCGTGCGCTACTATGCCCAGCTCATTAATCTAATTTTTAAAATATTTTGTTCAGAGACTCACTGAAAACTTACATAAAACCAATGAAGAACACAAGAACCATACTAAAACACCAAACTATGAGATGGTTAATTTGGTTTCCAACTTGACTAGAATTGCCTGGAAGACACATTTCTGGAGATGTCTGTGAGGGAGTTTCTAGACTGGTTTAATTGAAGTGGGAAAAGCCATCCTAATCGTGGGAACACCACCCCAGGAGCCGGGGTCCTTGTCTGTAGAAAATGGAGAAAGCAAGTGGAACACTAGTGTTTGTCTCTCGGTACTGTCTGACCATGGGCACAAAATGACCGGCCGCTTCGTGCTTCTACCACCATACCTTCTCCACATCATCTGAATCTTTGTGTTGCTTCTTGTCAGGTATTTTGGCAAGAGCAACGTGAACAAGAACTCATACAGATGCTGATAAGCCAAACACAGCATCTTCCACAATGCCTTGTGTGATTTAGCTCTTGCCTGCACACTTAGCCATTCCAGTTTGTTTACTGCTCATCATCTGTACCCCCAACTCTAGCCATGGCCAGAGCCCTCCATACATCACTCATCTTCACACTTCTGGATCTTTGCACATGGTGTTCTGTTGTTTGAAATGTCTTTTCAATCCATGCATTTTGGCCTTCCAAGCACCCACCCATTCTTCAAGATGCATGCTAAATAGCACCTCGCTAGTCTTAAAGAATGGGAGTAAAACCCCTCCAACGACAGCTCAACTGCCAAAAACATACATGCTTACAACTGCGGAATAACAAACTACAAGCCAGGATACTTACATTTCCAAGACAAGTAAAATAATAACAATAACAACAGCAGCTGTGAGATACTTTAAATATTTAATCACCAATTCTACAACCACCCTGCAAATTAGATGGAGAGTTAATTTTCCT